AATCAAATATTTACCTCTTCTGGAAATTCTTCACTGACCAGAGACATAATCAATGATGTCTTCCCAACTCTAGCTGTGAAAAGAAGAATCACAGATTTAATAAAATGTTTAGGTTCTTCGTAAGCTCAAAATCAACAACTGCACAAGAAACTCTGTTATTTGTTATCTAAAATCAGAAGTATCCAAATTACCAGGATTTAGTATAATACTTTAAAATGTCTCATTTCCTTAGAAAAATGATGGATACTTATTATTTTAAAAAATTATAATATGTAATGTAAAAAGCAAGAATCTCCAATATCCTCCACTAACATTTTAATATATATCTTCTATCAATAGTTCAATACAAGTTTAAGATGAAGAAATTAAAACATGTCAATGAGAGCCAAAATATTACCTTAAGTATTTCATACCTAAATTTAGAGACTCTATGAAAAATAGATTTGATGCACTGAACACCAATGACCAAAGACCCAATAAGTTGTGGGAAGACATCAAGGACATCACATGTAAAGAAAGCAAAAGGTCACTAAAAAGACAGGAAAAAAAAGAAAAGACCAAAATGGATGTCAGAAGAAACTCTGAAACTCGCTCTTGAACAAAGAGTAGCTAACGTGAATGGAAAAAATGTTAACATAAAAGAGAGCTAAACAGAAGATTTCAAAAGGTGGCAGGAGAAGACAAAGTAAAGTATTACCTAGGGCCTTGAACGCTTACGAGCAGCCATCTAAGATGCACCTATTGGTCTCTCCTTGTCCAGAGCAAAAAGGAGTGAAGAAAATAGAAGATGCATGTGAACCATTAGTACAAGGGGCTAATGGACCATGGGAAGCTCAGCCTAACTGATCCTGAGACCAAATGAAGTCGATGGTGTTTGGCTACCACTGCCAACCACTCTAAAAGGATCAAAATGGGAGACGATAGGGAGAGTGGGAGAAAAATGTGGCATAAAACGCAAAATCATTAAAAAAAAAAAGACCAGTTTACTGGTCTGATAGAGATTAGTGAAATCCTCAAGGCTATAGCCCTTAGCCACTCTTTGGGCCTGGAACTGACCTCACTCACAATTTTCAGCCAAACAATAGACAAACCTAAGAAATATAGTAACACCAGAGAGGTAAGTAATACTTAGACAATCCATCATTAAGAGATCAAAATGGTAGCATCTGCCCAGGTATAAAGCTCAGAAAGGAATGGATAGGAAAGAAGGAGAAAGTGAAATGGTAACAGGAAGGAAGTGAGAACAGTGTTGTTACATTGTGGGCATTGCAATTAATGTCATGAAACAAAATGTGTATGAACTGTTGAATGGAAAACCAATTTTCTCTGTAAACTTTCACCCAAATCACAATAAAAAGTTAAAAAAAAGTAAAGTATTATAATGAAACATGCAAGATCTGGAATCAGAAAATCAAAAGGGAAGAATATGATTGGCATTTCTCAAGCTGAACGAACTGAAGAAAAAAGTCAAGCCTCAATTTGCAATACTGAAGAATTCTATGGACAAAATACTGAACAATGCAAGAAGGATCAAAAGATGATGGAAGGGGAGAATAAAGACAATAAAGGCAAACACTACTGCACCACACAATACTGCATTATCATTAAGTAACAGCAAACACTCATCTACAGGTAGATATGTACAGGTAGACAGATACGGATACACAAATGGGGAAAGAAAAAAAAAAAGATGATGATGGAAGGAATACACAGTCACTGTACCAAAAAGAACTGGTTCATGTTCAACCATTTCAGGAGGCAGTGTATGATCAAGAACCAATGGTACTGAAGGAACTGGCGAGAAACAAAGCTCCAGGAATTGATGTAATACCCACTGAGATGTTTCAACAAATGGATGCAGCATTGGAGGCACTTACTTGTTTATGCCAAGAAATCTGTAAGACAGCTACCTCAACTGAAGAAATCCATATCTGTGCCCATTCCAAAGAAAGGTGATCCTACAGTATGTGGAAATTACCTAACAAAATCATTAATATCACATGCAAGCAAAATTTTGCTGAAAATAATTCAAAATGGTAGCAGCAGTCCATCTACAGGAAACTGCCAGAAATTCAAGTCAGATTCAGAAGGGGATGTGGAATGGGGGATATCACTGCTGACGTCTGAAACCAGAGAATACCAGAAAGATGTTTACCTGTGTTTTACTGACTATGCAAAAGGCATTTGGCTATGTGGATCAAACAAATTATGGATAACACTGCAAAGAATGGAAATTCCAGAACATTTAATTTTGCTCATGAGGAAACTATATGTAGACCAAACAGAACAAGGGGATACTACATGGTTTAAAATCAGAAAAGATATCTGTCACGTTATTCAATTTGTATGCTGAGCAACTAATTCTAGAAGCTGGTCTATATGAAGAACATGGCATCAGGATTGGAGGAAGACTCATTAACAACATGCAACATGCATATGACACAACTTGCCAGCTGAAAGCAAAGAGGGCTTGAAGCACTTACTGATGACAATCAAAGATTACAGTTTTCAGTATGGATTATACCTCAACATAAAGAAAACAAAAATCCTCACAACTGGACCAATAAGCAACATAATGATAAAGACTGAAGTCGTCAAAGATTTCACTTTACTGATATCCATGGATGCAGCAGTCAAGAAATCAAATGACGTACTGTACTAGACAAATCTGCTGCAAGAGACCTTGTTAAAGTTTTAAAGAGCAGAGATGTCACTTTGAAGACTATGGTGTGCCTGACCCCAGCCACAGTATTTTTAATCGACTCATATGCATGTGAAAGCTAGAAAATGAATAAGGAAGATCAAAGAACTGACACATCTGAATTATGGTGCTGACAAAGAATATGAACAAATCTGTCTTGGAAGAAGTACAGCCAGAATGCTCCATAAAAGCAAGGATGGTGAGACTTCGTCCCAGGTACTTTGGTTATATTATCTGGAGGGGCCAGTGCCTGGAGAAGGATTATCATGCAGAGGGTCTGCTAAAAAGAGGAAGACCCCCAATGAGATGGACTGACATAGTGGCTGCAACAATGGGCTCAAACACAGCAACAATTGTGAGGATGGCGCAGGACTAGGCAGGGTTTCACGCTGTTGTACACAAGGGTCGTTATGAGTCAGAACTGACTCAGCAGCACCTAACAACAACAGCATCTCCTCCCGGGTTGTTTCAACACTCACAGTAATGTGCCATAATAATTTATCACAATGAGATAATATTGATATGATTTTGCAACTTTCCTTTATCACTTAATTACACAGTAGGGCAGTATTTCATATCAACCTAAGAAAACTTACTTTTTCAACAGATGTTGTTAAGAAGTATCATCAATTACTTATGTAACTCCCTAGTGATGAACATATGGATTGTTTTCAAATTTTCACTTTGACAAATAATGCTGCAATGAGTAAGTATTTCTACAGGATAAATTGCAAGAAGTGGAATTCAAGTTAGCAGGCATGATTTTTTTTGGCTTTAAAATACATTGTTAAATTACCTCCAAAAAACAATTAATCAATGTAGATCCTCAACAAAAACATCAGCATGCCCGTTTCTCTACATCCTTGCCTTCTTTTTACACAGTTTCCATTTTAAAGGGTTAGAAACAAGGTAAAGGAGCCCCTGGGTGAGGTAAACAGTTAACCTGTAACTTGCCTGGCTGCCATCTGAAAGGCTGGCAGTTAGAGTCCCCTCAGAGGAACCTGGGAAGAAAGGCCTAGCAATGTACTTCCAAAAACTCAGCTGATGAAAACCCTGTGGAGCACAGAGCTGACCACATGAGGCTGCCATGAGTTCGAATCTACCCAACAGCAACTTGAAACAAGGTAAAAGCAAAGAAATTTTCTTGTTACATTTTCTACTCATTTTTTAATTTTCTAATGTACAAACTTTAAAATCTTAACTTATTCTGAAATATGATTCTCATTCTCATTACTTTCTGATCATATAAGTACTACTGTTAGACATTCAACTGCTTATCAACTAAATTCTTTGTGATTCTAGAGGAAAACAGTCTACCTGCCTATTAATCTCTGCCGTAACAGAAAATTAAGTTTCTAAAAGTGAAGTCCAAATATAAAAGAAACTTGGTAAATTTTAAAGTTAAGAAAAGCCACATTCCCTTTTTAAATGACTAAAAGAAAGGGTGAACTAAAAACACAAGAATGGCTCTGGAAAAATAATGAATGGCTGGAATAAAGGAAGGAGAGTATTGGTCAAAACAACTTCAAGGATGGGCTGTGAACTGGTGGAGGGATAGATTAGATGGTCTAACAGGTGTCTTCTAGCTCTGATTTCTACAAATCTTTTTAATTGACTTGTGTGAGACAGCTTGGGCCTTTTCCAAGTGGCTTACAATGAGGCAACATTTCAGTGACTTCCAACCATGTCAGTGAATCCAGAGCCATCAGTGTAGAACTGCTAGAATCTTGTGAACAATATTCACTCAACCCATCCTCCAAAAAAATTTTCAAATGAGGATTCTGGAGTTGAAAGACGGTGATTTTCTAAAAAAATAAGTTGCACATCCAAGTGAATAACACATCTCCTGCTGGCCAAGCCAGCACTGTTTCCCTTCAGATGCATATTTTTCAAAATACTGTAAAAACATAATACAGCAAGAGAATGGTGACCAGAAGTCAGCAAGCAGCACATATACAAATACTGCAAAACTTATTAACATATGCACCGATTCATGGTGACTAACTCAGCTCTGGCTCAGTTAGGGTTTGTTTTTTTTTTTAAAAAAAAAACTTATTTTGAGAGAAAATTTCAGACTTACATAAAAATTGCAAAACAGTACCAAGAATCCATGTCTATTCTTTGCTCAAGTCCCCCAAATGTTAACATTTTACCACATTTGCATTAACATTGTCTGATCATTATCTATCAGTCTGTCTGTCTCTCCTTATACAATTTTTTATCCTAAACAATCTGAGAGTAAGTTGTAGACACAATGCCCCTTTACCCCTAAATACTTTAGTGTGTATTCCCTAAAACCAAGATCATGTTCTTATGTAACCACAATACGTTGTCAAGATCAGGGGAAGAAAATCAATACAATACTATTATTTGACCCACAGACCCATTCAC